TGAGAGACCGTCTTTGCGATCGGACTGCAGGTAAAGCTGCAGATCATCGACCCAGACCTCAAAGTCGACAGCTCGACCCTCAGCATTAAAGGTAAGCACATTGGGACTAGCCATGACAGCAGCAGTAGCAGGCTAGCAGCAGCAGCGGCAGCGGGACTCGGCTAAAGGGGCGCGGCTCGGCAGGGTGCTTACCAGTGGCGAGTAGGTAGGGTGGCCGCGACCGGAGTGGCAGGGCCGAGGTGCGCCGGGAGGGTCGGGGCCGTAACTGGGCAGCAGGGTAGGGCTGCGGCTCGGCTGCAGGTCAGGGCCGGGGCAGCAGGGACCTCAGCGGCGGCGACGGCTCGGCAGCGGCAGAAGGGCCGCGATGGTGGCAACTGCTGTTGCGGCAGGGACGGTGACGGCAGCTGCTGCAGGGACGGCCGCTGCTGCAGGGACGGCAGCTGCTGCAGGGACAGCCGCTGCTGCAGGTACCCGGAAGACGGGGCGGCAGGGCCGCTACGGCGGCAGCAGGGGCGACGGCAGCTGCTGCTGGGGCGGCAGGGCGGCTACGGCGGGCCGCGACGAGCCGCGAGAGGGGCCGCGAAGGGCCGCGAAGGGGCCGCGAAGGGCCGTAAGAGGGGCCGCGAAGGGCCGTGAGAGGGGCCGCGAAGGGCCGTGAGAGGGGTCGCGAAGGGCCGCGAGAGGGGCCGCGAAGGGGCCGCAAAGAGCCGCGAGAGGGGCCGCGAAGGGCCGCGAAGGGCCGCGAAGGGCCGCGAAGGGCCGCGAAGGGCCGTGAGAGGGGCCGCAAAGGGGCCGCGAAGGGCCGCGAAGGGGCCCGCGAAGGGCCTTAAGAGGGGCCGCGAGGGGCCGCGAAGGGGTCGCTAAGGGGCCGCGAAGGGGCCACGAAGGGGCCGTGAAGGGGCCGCTAAAGGGACCGTGAAGGGGCCACTAAGGGACCGTGACGGGGCAGGCCACTAAGGGGCCGCGAAATTTTAGGGCAGGACGCGAAGCGCGCTTCGGGCAGGGTAAAAAAAAAATTCGAAGGTGGGGCCTAGGAAGAAACGGTCCCACTAGGGAACCCGCTCTATACCATGTAAAGAATGAGGAATGATTGAACTAGGAAAATGTTGGATACAAATATCAAACCCTAGAAACCTGTACCCCTTAGTGTCTACCCCACTAGAGCCTACAAAGACCAAGTCATATATATCTGACATGTCAGCGCTGGGATTCGAACTCGTGACTTTCAAATCTGTTCTGGAAGTGTCTTAAGACAGATTTAAAACTGTTTCTGCTAAGGCGCTGCTTATGGTGCACGCGAGTTTCGAACTCGAGAACTTTCAATTCAAGTGTTCCGAAAGTGTCTTGTCAGGAAAGATTGGAGACAGTTTGGGGGGCAGTTTGGCGAAATCGATCTCGGGTCGCATTCAGTTTGAACCTCAGCAGCGAAGTGTCGAAGTCAACGGAATTTACACAGGAGTTACAGTCGGTGGTCGACGGAATTCTGGTCGCGGAAATTTTTGTCGACGGAATTCCAGTCAATGGAATTCGCTAGTCAAAATTCAAGGCTCGGAATTTTGTGTCGGCGAAATTCAACGTGTGACCTGGGTCGACACTTTCTTGTGTGCTTTGTTTTTGTATTCCGTCCTAGTATATAACCAAAGAGCACAAACCAAAAATCAACAAAACCATAATCACTGCTATGTTTGTGTGTAACTCTGGCTATAATGGACCATTTCCAGCAATCTTTGGTGCGTTGGAATCATGATTTCAAGCTCTATCAATCTGCTATAGTAGTGGAATTCTACAGAGGCGCCTAGCGCAGACCATAGACAGGACGCCGAAGGCTCCACTGGGTATCCTCAAGAAACGACCCAGTGAAGACACGAGGGCGGCGCAGCCAGATCGCCTCGTAAAGGCTGCTCTGCACGAAGGCCGTCAAGAAGTCTAGGGAGTGCAGCTCATGGTCACGCTGTGCTGCAACGTGCAGTAGCACCCGAAGAGTGGTCATCTTCGGGGTGGGTTAGAAGGTCACGAAGAAGTCAACCCCCTCACGGTGTCTAAAGCTTCGTACAATGTAACGCACCTTAAAGGCAGGCGGAGAACCTGGCGGCCGCTTCACCCTGAAAATCCACATGCCATCAACTATGTTTGCCCCAGGTGGGGGTATTGCGTCGACGTAGGTGCTTGTGGACTTCTAGGAAGCCATCTCTGCATCCATGGCTGTTTGCCACTGAGAGGAGATTGCCTCTGCATAAGAGCGCGGGGTTGGGATGTCCAGCGCATCCGGGTCTCCCTCAGGGCAAAGTAGCATGGTAGCGAGATGAGGTGCAGCAGCCGCTAGGCACTCCAGCTCAAACTGCCTGTCCTCAAGGACGTCGCAGCCAAGGGCAAGCTCACCCCTGATGGACGGAGGATAGTCAGAGTCAAAAAGAAGACTCGTAGTGTAGTCAAGGGGGCACAGAGCAGCCAAGTCAACGAGCTCAGCAACTAAGGCAGACCGCAGGAGACGAAAACGTAGGGTCAGACGTAGGCGTGGCAAGAAGACTAGTGACAGTCGGACTGATAGCACGAACAAGGTCAGACTCAGGGCCAGGAGCGTAAGGAAGAGAAGACGTAGGAGGCGACGGCAGGACAACACGCTGTGGAACAGGGGAAGGATGGAGTGCCATGGTGTGAGTGCTTGGGAAAGGTGGAGGATGAGGACGGGCAGCATGACGGGTACGAACAGGCATGACAAGATGCGACGCATTCTCTCTACTCTCAGTCAGGGACTCTGTCACGTCAGTGTAAGGAGCAGGAGAAGGCAACGGGAAGTCTGGCAGCAACTCTCTCTAAGACTAGTCAGTCGGCAGGAACAGTAATGGAGGAGTAGTACCAGCAACAGGGAACTCAGTAACAGGCGGGAGGCTGAGCAGATGGCGAAGCCCATACGGTTGCTGCTGAGTAGTCGCACCCCTAGAACCTCCACCGCCAGGATGAGAACCTCCAGTACCAGTACCTCCAACACCAATACCTCCAGCACCAGGGCGTCTAACTCCAGTAGTAACAGCACCCCCCGCAGCCCACGCTGCCCCGCGCCCCCGCTGCTACAGCGCCCGCTGCAGCCATTTATGTCGCCCGCGAATCGCAGCCCGCGTCTGCCCATGCTGCTCGCACGCTGCCCCGCGCGCTGCCCTGCTAGCGCTATTGCGCACGCTTCGCCCTGCCCCGCGAGCTAGCCGCCCGCGCCCTGTCCTGCTTAGCCCGCTCCCTGCCTTGTGCTACGCTGCCTGCACCGCCAGCTTGCGCCCCTGCTGCGCTGCCTGCGCCGCCAGCTCGCGCCCCTGCTGCTGCGCATTGCCCGGTGCCCGTTGCTGAGCGCGCTGCCCTGCACGCTGCACTGCCACGCTCTGCCCCGCCCTGCCCTGCTTGCGCTTCTGCACAGCTGCTTGCACCTGCTGCTCCTGCTGCTGCCGCCCTAGGTGCTACCGCCCTGGGTGCTGCCACCCACTGACGCTACCGCCCTAGGTGCTGCTGCCACCCGCGTGCGCTGCCCCGCGCTGCCCTGTCACGCGCTAGCGCCCCCCTGCCTCGAGTGTTGCTGCTGCTACAGCTGCCGTCCGTGCTGCTGTAGCCGCTGCTACTTCTATAGCCACCGCCGCTGCCTCCTTTGTTGCTGCTGCTACTACCCTTGCTACTGCTACTGCTGCCGTGACTGCTGCTATGGCGACTCCCATTGTGCTCACCTTTGTCGCCGAGGGCCGCCCGATAGATTTTGAGTCCTGGCTAGAGGATCTCCACCGGTACGGTACCTGCAGAGCGTTACTAGGGAGGATGTCTATCTCTTTAAGCATCCCTCGGAGTCCCTCGATGCCTTTGCTGCCTCTCCTGACCGCGTAGCCCGATCCCAGTGGACTTCTCGTGACGCTACTGCCGCTCTTTCTGTCCGTAGTCACCTTCCGCTAGACCAGCGCACCCATTTTTGCCAGCTTAAGACAGCCAAGGCACTTTATGACGCTGTAGTCAAGCGCTACTCCTCCTCGTCTTTTGCCATTGTAGGCCGTCAGGCGCTGCCGTTCCTCTTTCCTGAGTTGTCAGACTTCACCACTGTAGCTGACCTCCTGACTCCCCTGCGCTCCCTTCACACCCGCTACCAAGCCGCTCTCGAGCCCGACTTTCTTGCTGAGAACAAGCCCCCCTATGTATCTCACCCTTTACTTCCTCACGACCCGCCTCCATGACTCCCTCGTGCTGTCCGCGACCACTTTCTTGCGGGCAGGGGGCCGCGATCGGGCAGGACATGGCAGAAAGAACTGGTGGGTCCGAAATAAAAAAAACGGTGATGGCAGTCCTAAGAACTAAATGCTCTGATACCATGTTAGAACTATGAGGAATGATGACTAGGTCAGGGAAGGGGGGATAGAAACAAGGTGTCGAGAGAGTTTGTGTACCCCCTAATGCTAGCCCCTACATAGCCTAAGTAAACATAAACACATGTTCTGACATTTTGTTGATGTTCCATCTTTTTTTATTTATATTGGAGTATAACGTCAACTTACCAGCCTTCAAGAAATTTCACCCTCTACCAGCTGTTGTCGGGCCTAGTGGTGGCAAGGATGCGTCACGGCAGGCGGCAACTTTTCTCACCAGGACCGCTGTAGTGATATCCCCTCCACAGGTTACACCGAGGCAAGGCGAGGTGGTGGATGGCGCACAACGCATCAGGAGGCGCCATACTTAGCGCGCTGTGTGTCGGCGTCCACCACAGCCACCTCCATTCACTCGCGCCTCGCGCGCTAAGCACCTCAACCCGCCTATTCCGCCGCTGCCACTCTCGAGCCAGCCTCGCGTGAGCGCGTCGGGCGTGTTAGTACTGGTTGCGGGGCAGCGTAGGCAAGAGCAGAGGGAGGCAGAGCGAGCAGCGAGGGCGTGCGGCGAGGCGTATGGGCGACCAGGTGATTCGCGTGCCGCGCGCGGCGCTGTGGCGGTGCCTCAAGTGTCCGGTGTGCGGGCAGCTGTGCCGCCACGCCACCACCGTCATGGAGTGCCTCCACACCTGTACGCCCCAACCTTGCCTCCCGCCCGCTCCCACCCACGCCGCTCACCTGCTTCCGCGCACGCCGCAATCCCTGGCGGCGTTTCATCGCGGCCCCTCTGCCTGGCTTTCCCATGCTCACTCCCCCTTCCTCCCTCGCCCGCACCCCGCTGCGCAAGGCGATCCGCCAGCACCACCTCCGTGCACTCACCCGTCACACGTTTCCGTTCCACCCCTGCCCTTGCTGCAAACCACACCCCTTACCCCTGCCTCGCTTCCCCTCTCTTCCCCTGTTCTCCCTTCCAACCCAAACCCCCTTCTGATTTCCCACCCCGCCCACCTCCTCCCGCCCACCTCCGCCCCCCCACCTCCCACCGCCGCCCCCCCACCGCCTGGCGCGCGCATGGTGTGCGAGGGGTTGGCAGTCTGCCGCGAGTGCATAGAGGGCGCGCTGGAGGACGGCAGGGATAACTGCTGCCCCGAATGCCGCGTCAGCCTCGGCCACCAACCCCTGCACACCCTCAGGTGCTCTCTCGCTTCCCCCCGCCCCCTCACTCGCTCCCCCCTCACTCCCTCCTCTCTCTCCCCCATCCACCATCTCCCCCCGCTTCCCCCCCCATTTCCAGCACGCCCCCAACTATGTGTACCGTGCCCTCAATGCGCTCCCATGTGGTCCGCGCAAATACCATGGCCACATGCTTCTGGCCCCTCCTGCATGACTCCCCAGTGAACTACCCCCTTATTGTCAATCCGCTCTGCAACTTCTTTGGTTGGTTCATCATGAGAAGAAAAGTGGTCTGGATCGGTGTTATACTCTTGGAGTTTGCTGTTGCATCCCACCCAAGTGCTTCCCCTCACTCCATCCACTGCACTTAGTCCACCCATCGCCCCCATGGCATCCTCCGCACCCGCCCACCATACCATACCTACCATGCCATGCCACGCGCCTGCAGGTACGACCGGCAGCTGGCGGACATTGAGGAGCGCATCTTTCCAGAAGTTGCTGTGTACTGCCAGCAGCAGAGGCTGCGAGAACAGGCGGAGGAGGAGGAGGAGGAGGAGGAGGAGGAGGAGGAGAGGGAGAAGGGCGAGAAAGAGCGGCATGTGGATGAGGGGGCCGAGGTGGCGGACATGGCTGGGCACGCGGAGGATGGGGGGGCGGAGGGGGGCGCACAGCAGCAGCAGGGGTGGGTGGCAACGGTAGCAGCAGGGGGTGGAGAGGTTTGCAGGCGGGGAGAAGGGGCGAGGCGGCAGATGCAGGGCAAGGACCACGGGTGAGCCGAGTGCCGTGCACGTGGCAGGCAGTGCGGGAGGGAATGTAGGCGAGCAGGGTGGGACAAGCGTGGAGGTGGCAGGGAGGGTTACAGCATGGGGGGAACACTGTCATGCAGGGCATGCACACACGCATGCTCTCACGGCATTCCCTCTCGCCCTGCGTGTGCTCCCCACTGCTGCACTCGCGCGCTCGCGTTGCAGCGTTGGTGCCTCTCGTGCCTGCCGCACCTTGTGCTGCTCAACACCTCTCGAACACTGCTCAAGTCAACCTGTGTCCACATGCGCCCTCACCCCCAATGCGATGTGTGGTGGCGCCATGGCAGGGGCGCTGGCGTACGGCATGCAGCAGTGGGGAAGCACGCACTGCCCACTGGTGCGGCCCTCCAACTTCCAGTGAGTCCTGCCCTACATGCACTGTGGCCCTTGCCTTGCCTGCCGCCACTGTGCCTCACCCACCTGCTGCCTCACCCTGCACCTCACCTTGCTTAAGGTTGCCAGTGCACACATGTATGTAAGCTGTTCTCTTCCGCCGCACACACCATTACCAACCGTTGCGCTTCCACAGTTGCCAGTGCACACATGTATGTCGTGCCTTGTCCCACCTATCTCTTCCTGTGTGCGCCCTGTACTTATGACGTCCTCTCGTGTGCCCATCCATTGCCCTTTGCCACATCGTGTTGCCGCGCCATGCTCCATGCCACCCTGTGCGTGCAGCTCATGCTACAACTGCTGAACCAGCTGCACCACCTGCACAGACAGTGCGGTGATGTCATAGAGCAGGCGGGTGGAGCGGGGGTGACGATAAATAGGGGGCTAATTCATGGGGAGCACGGAGGCAGGGCAACGGCAGGAGGCCAGGGCGAGCAGCAGGAGCACATGGCGGCACCAGCTGTGGCGTCGTGGGGCGTGGGCAGGTTGAGCAGCAGGGGGAGTGGGGATGGCGAAGACGGGCGTCAGCAGTTGGTGGGGGAAGTGGCACAAGGGGCAGGCGGGGAAAATGCGTGTGGAGGGGTGCAGACTGATGGGTGGGAAAGAGCACTGACAGACACGGTGCAGGGCGAGGTAGTGGAGGAGGGAGGGGGGGCGCTGGTGCGTGCGTGGAGGCATATAGAGAGAGAGCAGCAGGCGGTGATGCAGCGGCTAATGGCGGCTGTGCTTGGTGTGCAGGGGGCAGTGATGAGCGGCACACACGGCAATGGTGGCAGTGGCGCAGGGGGAGCAGTGGAGTCGGGGGGTGGTGGGAGGACTCATGGCTGTGATAGTCGAGAGGAAACGACGAGAGGGGTGGGGGAGGAGGTGTGGAGGAGAGGCGAGCAGAGAGTGGGCGCTGGAGGGGTTGAGAGGCAAAGGACGGAGGGTGGTAAGGTTGGGAAGTTGCGGGGGGGAAGGGGAGGCAGTGGGGGTGATGCGGGGCAAGGGACGCATGTGGGTGACGCTGCAGGTGATTGGGCAGGTGAGTGGCAGCGGGAAGGAGCGGGTGCAGGCGATGCAGTGAGGGGCGATGGTGGGTCACGGTGGCGGCGGGGGGAAGAAGAGTGTGAGGGGACGAGTAGAGATGGATTGGGAGATGGTGAGAGGCGAGATGGTGGTGAGGGAAGTGGCAGCGAGGCGGAGAGGCGAGACGGGGGAGCGGGGGTGGCGGGGGAGGTGCAGTCACCAGGAAGAGAAGTTGAGATGGGTGCGGCAAGTGCAGGCAGAGACGCGCGTGAGAGGGAGGAAGCAGGGGCGGGGCGAAGCAGTCATGCAGGGATGAGCACAGCAGAGGGGGAGGCGCATGGGGTTGCAGGGGGTATGGCGGGCGGCAGCTGTGTGTTTGTGTGCAGTGCGGACGCAGAGGAGAGAGGGGCAGCAGGAGGAGAAGGTGGAGGGAAGGCGCGGAGCAGTGGCGCAGGGAAGAGGGCGAGCGAGGAGGAGGGCAGGGCAGCAGGGCAGAGCACCGGCAATGGCAGGCAGGGCAGGGGCAAGCGGCGGCGGGTGGCGCAGGCAGGGGGGCAGTGGGACGGGGACGTGGAGGGGCGGGGTGTGGGAAGAGAGGGGGAGTGTGGCATGGGCGATGTGGTGGCGGGGGGGCTGCTGCAGGGCGAGATGCAGGCGCGGTGGGCGGATGATGCCCGCCTGGGAGGGGCAGACGGAGAGGACGAGGAGGTGCAGGGCAGTGAGAGGGGCGTGTGTGGCATGAGAGGAGACCTGCCAGCGGACAGCAGCGGTGAGGAGACAGCGCAGGGCAAGGGTGACAACGAGGGTTGTCAAGGAGGGGGAGAAGGGAATGGGGGGACGTGGCGTGTTGGGGCCAGCGAGGTGCTGGTAAGGGGCATGAGGACTGGCGGAGGGCAAGGCGACGACGTGCGAGGGAGAGACGCAGACAGGAGCATGTCAGTGGGTGGGCATGTGGAGAGACGGGTGAAGGCAGAGGAAGTGGGGCAGGAGGGGCAGCGGGTGGGGCAGGACATGCAGGTGCAGATGGAGGGGGAGGGTGTGACGCCTGTGGCGGGCGACGCTGTAGTAGCAGGCGCGGGCAGCGGTGGGGAGGAGGGCGAGGGTGCGGTGCATGAGGTGGGTCGGAGTGGCGGGGTGGCGGGTGGCGACGATGCGGTAGAGATGCATGCAGGGCGGTGCATGGCGGCAGCAGGCAGGTGCACGGCGCAGGTGGAGCATGCAGCACAGGGGCGTGGTGACGAGGGCATCGCAAGGTGGGCAAGCACGGCGGTTGCAGCAGTGGCAGTAGAGATGGCGGGCGCTGGTGAGCGTGTGAACGGGCGGGCAGATGGGGTGGTGAGTGGCAGTGGCGAGGAGGCAGGGGCGCAGGCGGTGGGTGCGATGCGTGTTGCGTGTGACGGTGTGGTGGCAGTGGCGGTGCGAGTAGATGGTGAGAGTGGGGGGGGAAGAGGAGGGCATGCATGTGGGGAGAACGCACGTGGCGGGGCAAGCATGGAGGCAGCATGTGAGGATGGCCATGTAGAGGATGGGAGAGAGAGCAGGCGGTGTGAGAGTGCGGTGGTGCAGGGCATGTCGTGTGCTTCTCAGCATGCAGAGGGGGCGAATGAGAACACGTTGCAGCAGAACCAGGGAGGGCACACGCAAGCTGGGGAACACAGTAAGGAGGCGTGCGGGGCAACAGGAGGCAGTGGTGGGAGGGGTGGAAGAGACGCAGTGGAAACCTCAGGGGGGAGCGCTGGTGATGGTGAGGGGCTTGACAGGCGGGATGCCACACAGGTGCAGCAGCGTGAGGCAGGCGGGGTGGCAGCTGGTGACACCGGGGAGCAAACGATAGAGAGTCGGGGGAAAGTGGGCAAGCAGGAGGTAGACGAGGTGGTGGGAGGGCAGGGTAGGCTGGTGGAGGAGGGACATCAGTGTACGGAGGATGTGGTTAAGGTAAAAGGAAAGGGGAGTAGACAAGGGGATAGGAAGGAGAAAGTGGAGACGCGCAGCAGCAGTGAGGAGTGCATGGGTGTGCTGGCATGTGATGCGGGTGGCAGGGGAGAGCAGGATGAGGCACATGGGCGGAGGGCAGAGACGAGCACGGGCGGGTTGGTGGCTGGCATGTTGAATGGGGTTGTCACGGATGCCACTGCCATGCCACACGCACCTTCACTCCCCCCTTCTGCTCCATCTGCTCCTGCTGCTCCCTCTCTTGCTGCTCCTGCTACTTCTGCTCCTGCGCCTTCCTCCGCCCCTGCTCTGTGTGTCATTCCCCCTGCACTGGCCAGTCCCGCCTCCACCTCTGCGCCTTCCACCGCCCTGGATCACAGTGCGTGTGGCGTTGCTGCTGGGCCCCTGGATGCTGCGTCTCTAAGTGCGTGCTGTGCTGCGGAAGGCGCTGCTGCTGTGCGGAGGGGCGATGGGGGCTGCTACGATGATGTTGCTGGGCTCAAGGCGACGCAGCACCCAGAGGAAGAAGAAGAGGAGCAAGGGAATGGCGGAACGGCCATGTCAGCAGAGCCCACTCCACCTGAATCCTCTCACACTCACCCTCATGTCACCACTCCCCTCCCTCTCCACTCCTCCTTTTCACCTGCTCTTTCTCCTGCTGAACCTGCTCCACCCCCTCCTTCTGACCCTACCCCACCCACCCCTATCCCTGCCCCTACCCCTGCACCTACCCCTGCCCCTAACCCTGCCCCTACCCTTGCCCCTGCCCCTGCTCCTGCCCCTGCCCCTGCCCCTGCCCCTGCCCCTACCCCTGCCCCTGCCCCTGCTCCTGCCCCTGCCCCTGCCCCTGCCCCTGCCCCTGCCCCTGCTCCTGCCCCTGCCGCTGCCCCTGCCCCTGCTCCTGCCCCTGCCCCTGCCCCTGCCCCTGCCCCTGCTCCTGCCCCTGCCCCTGCCCCTGCCCCTGCCCCTGCTCCTGCCCCTGCCCCTGCCCCTGCCCCTGCCCCTGCCCCTGTACCCGCTGTGCCGGGCACACCTCTCTCCCCAGGTGCAGGGGGGCAGCAGGCCATGCAGGCAAGGGAAGAGGTGGCAAAAGGTGGTGCAGGAGGGTCAAGTGCGGAGGCGGGAGGGGGAGGAGTTGAGGGCATTGGGGTGCGCACTACTGGCCTTGATGCCGTGCTGGGACTCGCTCATCGCTCCCAGTAGTGCACACCCCCCTGCTGCTCCTACCGCCGCTGCTGTAAATGCTCCGCTTTCCCACAGGCCTCCATTCTATGCATGCGCTTGGCTACATTGCACAACAGAACTCAGCCCACTTCAGTATGTATCATTAGCTGCAGTTTATTTAGAGCTTGTGTATTAGTCTAGAACGAATAGCAGGCAGGCATGCATATGATACTAGCGCAACAAAGGCTAATTAGGTCCGTCAACGTATTACAGCAGTACTCATTGCGCTTGCAACTCAAGCAGCTCACGGCCACGGTAGCACCTGGTTCTACACCTGGCATGGGCTACAGTGCTACACTATACATGTGGTTTGCCATCCCTGATACAACAGGAATGTCAGCTACGCCTACAGTCATACTGTTCCATCTCCTACATCAAGCACTGCACATGCCAACAATGCGCAAGCACACTATGATGCGCAGGTGTCGTTCCTACACTGGACGAGCAGCCGTCTCGGCGCGAGCCTGTCCGACTGGGCACCAGCGAGCAGCTCTTGTGTGCTCTGTGATGTGGTGCGCGTGAGGCCAATGCCGCACCACCAGCCATGCCCCATGGAAGCAGCAATGGAACGTGCGTGCGGGGGAGTGCGTGTGAGCGAGGTCAATGCGAGCTTCTCTCTGGGCTGTGCAGCGGCGCTCCCTCATCTCTTTCTCTCTGCGCCGATGCCTCCTCCCCCGCGTCCCTTGCTGCCAGTCGCGCCATGTCCTGCCGCAATCGCTCCTGGTGGGTGGGAGGAGCAAGCGCGGGTGGGAGTGGGATAGGGATGAGTGCTGTTGAAGCCACACTGCCTCGCCCACACAACGCTGATTTAATCGCCAAAAGGCACGGCCTGCTGTCACGCGCGCCCACGGCCACCTTGTGGCACGACGCGCTCCTACTGCACCCCTCCTCCACCTCCATCCCTCCTACCGCTCGCCCACCCCCCCCACACGCATAGCATGCACAGAAAGGTCCGCTGGGCGCGGTGGGAGGGGGAGCAGACGGGAGAGCGGGGGAACGAGGCGAGGGAAGACGGGGAACGAGGAGTCAAGGAGGTAGAGTTGGGGAGGTTGAGTTAGGGCCGGCAGGAAAGCAGACAGTGATGAGGGCGAGGTGCGAGGAACTGGGGGAGAGGTAAGCTCATAGGAGTGACTGATGAACACTCGAAAATGAGTCTGCTCCAACAGACGGGTAACGGTAAGCGAATGGTAGGGGAGCGGGGGCGAGCGGTGAGCACGGGCCTTGAAGCGCAGCTCGGCGTGGTGCATGACGTAGAACCCCACCAGCCCGCCCAGCGCCGTTCCCACCACGATCGCCGCCGTGCCGCCGCCCGTCGGACCCGCCAGCCGCCGTGTCATCACCGCTGCCGCGCCTGCACGCTTTGGAGACCGCGGGCGCCTCGTTACGAAGCCGCCCTCTTGGGCGTGACGTGGATTGCAATGGTGAGGGGGGGGAACGCGGGTCCCCGAACGGTACCTGACGTCGATTGTTATGGTAGGATATACTCCTTACAGACCGCTCATTGTCACCAACCTCTTTGCACTGCTTGGTAAAGAGAACTGGTGCTCTGTCTGATATAGAGACACACGCATAAATCATATCCAAGGATATACTCTACGGAATTAACCATTCCTCAGATTCAGGTTAGATCACGTACAGCCACAATTTTCAAAAAAAAATGCTCGGCCCAATTTCATAGACATCAAAACTACATATTTCACGTCGTGCTCAATCTTACCAGAATTCCCTAAATTTAAGCTAATAAATACTGTATATGGTAAATCTCGAATTTCGCCTAGTTAGGATGGCTTGCTATATTATGAATTGGCCCTCCGTTGTATGATTGGAGCAATGAGCGGTGGGGGGTTGCCTTTCACAGCACACATTAAATATGGTATCAAAATTGTCCTTACCGCGTCAACACGTACAAGAGTGTGTAAGCGAAGGTCAACAGTTGTGGACAGTCAAGGGTCGCGACTGTTGACCATCCCATAAAGGCAATCGGAGGTTACGCATTGCAACGCGGTAACCATAAAAAGGATCGCAATAGTAACTGACGCTCCGTGCTCCAGCCGTAGTTCGCATAGCCGCACCTGGCGCTCCTCGTAATACCCGCTCTACGCTCCTAGCTCCGTGTGCTACATGCTCCAGCCGTACCTTGCCTAGCCCCACCTGGCACTCATCGCAGTACTCGCCCCACGCTCCTAGCTCCGTGCGCTACATGCTCCAGCCATAGCTTGCCTAGTCCCACCTGACGCTCCTCGTAGTACTCGCCCCATGCTCCTAGCTCCTCTTGCTCCGTGCTCCAGCCGCTCCTAGCCTCCACTGTGGAATCCTCCAGCAGGAATGATGCATTGAAACAGGGATGTGGGTACATATGCTAACCCTAATTTAGGTTGTACCCCTTATGGGCTACCCCACTACAGCCTACACAGCACAAGCATGATTATAGTTTGACACACCCCCATAGGCAAAGTGGGGGAGAGCAAGGGGTCAAAAGACCAGTCAAACGAAGCAAAGCAAGCTCAGGGTGGATCACAACGTCACCACACACACTGAGCACAAGCAAAGGGCCACAAGGCCACTTTACATGCAGAGGTATATATGCAACAACAGCAGCACAGTGATCTCTACCTAGTAGAGCAAGCAAGCAGGTATATATATAGATCACAGTACAAACAAAGTCTACAGCAAGTGAGGAAAAGTGGGCACAAGGCCTAACAAAGTGCAGAAACGCTGATGATCACCAGACGGAAGTGCCTTGGTGAATATATCAGCAGTGTTGGCCCGAGTGGCCACGTGAGCAAGACGAAGCTGACCTCGCTGCTGCAACTCTCGAGCCAGGAAGTAACGCAGAGCGATATGCTTCGTTCTGTGCTCCAGTTTGTGCTCCTGACACAAGGCAATGGCGGCCTTGTTGTCTACGTACAGCACTGGAGGAGAACAAGGCCGCTCTCCCAGGTCGGTCAGCAGGTAGGTGAGCCAGCATAGCTCCTGTGCAGCCATGGCTGTGGCGTAGATCTCAGCCTCACAACTAGAGCCGAGAACAGAAGACGAGCGTGTAGACCGCCAAGATTTAGAGCCAGAGCCAAGGCTGAAGGTGTAACCCTGTGACGACCGCTGTGTAGCCAGGTCGTCAACCCAAGAAGCGTCCGAGTGCCCAGTGAGGACAACTGGGCTCCGTCCTCCAAGCACAAGCCCCATCCCCGATGTACTGCACAAGTAGCGCAGTACCCTCTTAGCAGCAGCCATGTGCTCTGGTTGGTGCCTACCAGGAGCAACGTAGCGAGCGAGAAGGCCAAGAGGGTACGCAAGGTCAGGTCGAGTGCAGGTCATCAAGTACATGAGGCAGCCCACTAGCTCTGAATACGGGCCACTCGGCTCTACGGACTCGTCCGAAGGTGGAGCTGAGAGCGAGTGGCCTGTAGCCAGAGGAGTGTGCTGTGGCGAGGACCAGGTGAAGCCGAAGCGCTGAAGGACCTGGTGCACCATGTGTGACTGAGTCAGTGTGATGGTGCGGCGTGCTCTGTCCCGGGTGATCTGCAAGCCAAGGTAGCTGCGCAGCTCACCCAAGTCTGTGCACGTGTGTCTCTTCTGCAGCTCCGACTTCACCAGGGCGAGAGCCTCAGTGTCTGCAGTGGCAAAGACCAAGTCGTCGACGTACACGAGGATGTAGAACGGCGGCAGCGACGTGTCGGTGCGCAGAAACAGTGACGGGTCAGCAGTCGACGGAGCAAACCCAAGAGCCGCAAGTGTAGTCCTAAGTGTGTCGTGCCACTCACGTGGTGCCTGGCGGAGACCGTAGACTGGCCGCCGGAGGCTCCACTGGGTACCAGGAGGGAACGACCCAGTGAAGCCAGGAGGGCGGCGCAGCCAGATCTCCTCGTGCAGGCTGCCCTGTAAGAAAGCTGTGCTGAAGTCAAGAGAGTGAAGCTCGTAGTCACGCTGAGCGGCAACGTGCAGCAGCACCCGAAGAGTGGTCATCTTCGGGGTGGGGGAGAAGGTCTGAAAGAAGTCTACTCCCTCTCGCTGACTGAAACCTCGAGCAACGTAACGAGCCTTGAAGACAGGCGGAGAACCTGGCGGCCGCTTCACCCTAAAAATCCACATGCCACTGACGATGTTCGCCCCAGGAGGGGGAACCTCGTCAACGTAAGTGCCTGTGGACTTCCAGGATGCCATCTTTGCGTCCATGGCTGTCTGCCACTAAGAGGAGTACTCACCCGCGATCGCCCCAGCATAAGAGCGCGGGGTCGGGATGTCTGGAGCATCCGGGTCTCCCTCAGGGGCAAGCAGCATGGACACGAGATGAGGCGCAGTGGCTGCAAGACACTCAAGGTCCTCCTTCCTCTCCTCAAGGACGTCCGTGCCAAGAGCACACTCACCCCCGACGGACGGAGGACAGACAGACTCAGACTCAGCAACAAGACTAGCGGCGTAGTCTAGACGACAGGCAGCAGCAAAGTCAACAAGCTCAGCAACAAAGGCAGACGCAGCAGCAGACTCAAACGACGGGTCAGTGACAACTGTGCCTAGCAGACGTGTGACAGTAGGGTGAGCAGCACGGGTGCGGTCAGACTCAGGCTCAGGAACGGTGGGCAGAGAAGACGCAGGAGGGGACGGCAGGGGAACACGCTGCGGAGGAGAGGAAGGACGACGAACTACGAGGTGGGTGCCGGGGACAGCCGGCTGACGCGAACGAGGAACACGACGACCGGAACTACTAGAACGGACAGGCGAGACAGGACGCGACGCAGGCTCACGATGCTCAGTAAGACCCCCTGTCTGCTCAGTGTAAGGAGAAGGAGCAGGCAGTGGTATGCCAGGCTGTAACGGAAGAGCAGTAGACGAAGGGAGACTAAGAACCTTGCGAAGCACAGAGTCAGGCGGTGGCTGAGACGACGGAGACGGTGGAGCAAAGAACAGGCACGGCTGTGCAGTGCCACCAGCACCAGCAGCTCCAGCACCCCCAGCAGCTCCAGCACCTCCAGCAGCTCCAG